CCTTTTTTATAAATATAACTTTATTTTGTAAAAGTGTTAAATTAATGAAATACTCTTACAATAGCAGAGAGTTTCCATGCATCTTACACTCTGTAATATATTAGAGTAATATGCTGGCCACATCATGTAGACATATTACTATGTTGTTAAATAAGTACACACCTTATTCTAATTTCCTCAGATTGTATGTAAGATTATTACTTTGTGTCAGAGTTCTATACATGAGGATATCACATTATGTTGAATCTTCACGTCTCCATAACATCTTCTCGGTTGTGCCAAATTTTCCTTGGTTCTGATGATCTGACAGCTGAGAGGAGCATTGGCCAGGTACTTTGTAGTACATCCTTTCTACTTGGTGCTTATCGCACCAGCAAATGGGGGAGGGTTATTTATGCCTCTGTGGGAAGAAACCACAGAAATGTAGTCATATTTTCCTCAGATTGTATTAAGGCTATATATTATCAACTTAAATTTTTTGCATCTGATAGTAACCTTGATTACCTGCCGTGATGTTGTCATTATTATTTTTTTTTTACTTTAGAGTTATGTTTTTTTCCTCCCTTGATAGTATAGTGTTACTTCTTACAACACAGTCATTTTGTGCAGCTTACATACAAAAAATAGATAATTGTCAGGTGGCAGGATATCTACCTAGTTTGCTCATAAGGCATTTGTTTTCAGAGTTAGAACTTACCACATATATTTCTAAAATTAGCAAAAAAGATTTAAGAATGATTTTGTTTCCATCTGGAAATCCCATAAATCTTATTAACAGTGGCTTCAAGAATTATGCAAAACTGATTTGTGTAAGTTCACACTTCAGAGTTGTGACTATTATATGTATTTAAGACAACATTTAGATTGAGCAGCTCTTTTTGAAGTGAATCTTAATTAAAACTTAATGATGCCTTCTGAAAATTTACTGGTTTAGCAAAACTTACCATATCAGCTGCAGCCCATATCATAAGGGCTACAACTCACACAGTTCAAAATCATCTGCCAAGACCCACCTGGCTGCAGCTGCAAAACCAGCTGTGGTTTGTTTGCTCATACAGTTCACGTCCAGATTTTCCAACCAATGCATCACTGGTTTTGAATTTTATGGTGCCACTTTCTCTCTGCTCCAATCAGCCAGTTTGTCGCTGTTAGAGAAAATGATGTAAGACTTCATGGAGGATAGTAAGGTCCCTTCTAGTCACAGCATAAGCTGAGAGTCTGGGAAAACATACCCACTATTCTGAAGTAGAAAAGTAGAAGTGTGGTTTGTGTTCCTTGCTTTGGTATGAAAATGGGTCTTCCCACAGCACTTGCTACATGAAGAAAGAACAAAAAACAAAACAAATCAAAACAAACAAACAACAAAAAAAAAACATGAAGAGAGCCTATTAAGCTCATCACTGATACATCAGAAAAGCTTGCCAGGACTTGCTTCTGAGGTTTTGACATAATTGATCTCTGGTATATTAATAAACATATATAATCGTTTAAGATGAAAAAATACATAGCAGGGTGAAAACCAGAAAACTCTTCCCCTTACTATCCCAATAAAGGCTGGATTAAGGAGGAAAAAAGGCTGTGTATTTTTGACACTAATAAAAAGCAAAACAAGGGGAATTAAACAATAAAAGCTATTACCATAGTGTAAAAACTAAATCCCATTATTAAAGTACTTAAGGATATTGAATAAATTTACTCATAATATTGAAAGTTAAAATTAAAGAATTGTTCATAAAATATGAGAATAATGAAATTATTAATTAAAAACTACATCAAAAGTGACACACTTAAGATATTAACAAGTTCATAAATCTTTTCTTCTCCCTCTGCTTCTTTCTCCAAAACAGTGTTAATCTAGCATGAAATGGGGATTGCAAGTGGAAGGAAATTGAATATTGAAAAGCACTATAATTCTAAAATTTCACTCAAACACAGACATAAATGTTATTTTAAGGATCAGTTGGGATTAAGTAAAAGAGATTATCCATATGTAAATGATATAGGGAAGAAATTAAAATAAAGTGAAAACATAGACTTCTTTATATACACAATAAACACATAAGCCCAATAAACATATGTGGTTGTTTAAGCATATGTGTATGTGCATACATATGTATAGTCATGAGTCATTTCACCAGGGGACATATTTTGAAACATGTGGTAGCTGATTTCATTATTATGTGAATGTCACAGAGTACACTTTGAAAATGATAGATGTTAGGAAGCAAATACATCATACCGTCTCAGTGTAATAAACGGATGCATAATCATAAGATGTGTGGAGCCGCAGTTGGTTTCTATGGCATATTTTATACAGTAAACATTTTATGTAAGTTGAAAGCCTGGTTTTTCCAGTATGTTAAGTTTGATGTTGATGAATACAATGTCTGATCAAAGAAATGATAGACATTTAACTTTTTAAAATTACGCTAAAAGAAACATTACCATTAATCACTCTTAAAAAATACTTCCTTCTCACTCCAAACACATTTATTACGTGTCTCTTTCCACTTTCTGAGGCAGTTCTAGATTCCTTCATGATTATCTTTAGTATTGCTATTGTGGGTCTGTCGATAATCCTGAATGGATTTAAAATATCTACCTCTCAGGGTCGTTCCTAGTAAGAGATCAGAGGCATACACTACCTCAAACTGGGAGAATGAAATCAATGAAGATACGCCTTAGAATTTTTACAATCCTGCCTTTTCACAGAATGGCCCTCAGCAGCAGCATTCACCATGATTTTGACAACAATTTATAAAGATACTCAGAAAAGTGAACTTCCAAAGCTCCTTTAGAAAATAACAAGAATGATAGGATAGATGGTTTACAAGAGAGAAAAGTACTTTGTAGGCATTAATGATAATGTATTTTTTACTGTAATACATGTTTTAAAAAATGTAGTCAACACACATGTTGACCATACTCATAAACTGGTAACCTTATCAAGTATTATACATTATACAAAATTGTATGTGTTTGACTTCTATATTACTGAGTTTTTGTTTTGCTTTCTTTGTATTCATTTTTGTTCTTCAAATCTTCCATTGTTCCTTTTTGATAAGTAATTCATTTTTACATATTTGAGAACTTTGGTTCTCTTTTATCTTTCTGAGACTTTTAAATTTTCAGTGGTTACTTTGGGGATTACAACTAAAACTATAAGTGTATAATAAGCTAGTTTGAATAAATTAATTTCACTAGTCTGAAAGCAAAGTATTCCCATATATTTTCATGTACTGTTTATAGTAGTTATCATATTTTTGTGTGGATTCCTTTGGTTTTGTCCTGTTTAGACTTAGTTTAGCTTCTTAGCTTAATTTCTTCCCTATATCACTTACATATGGATAATCTCCTTTTCTTAATCCCTACTGATCCTTAAAATAGATATTAGCAGTTAATATCTTTCATCAGTTTTTATAGCTTTTGAGGTCATTATGTTTTTGATTAGCAGTTTTATTACTTGTTCTACTTCTCAATTTGAGAGTCACAACATGTATGTTTTCATCCATTTGTTGCTGTAAGTCCCTTAGTCATATATATATATATATATATATATATATATATATATACTTTTTATACTTATTTTGTCTTTCTGCTGCTAAGTAGATATCACTTTGCCTTAATTTATCTTCACTGATTCTGCTTCCTATTCAAATATATTGAAACTTTTAATTTACATTTAGCTTATTTTGCAACTTATGAATATTCATTTGGTTTCCTTTCTTAACTTTTTTTATGTGGTCATTGACAATCTCATTTTGCACATGAATGAGATTTTAAGTTTCATATTTTCAGTTCCTTGCACACATCTATGACAGTGTATTTAAAATCTTTGTGTAGGGCTGGACGATTAGCTCAGTCATAGTGCTTGACTGGTATAAGGACCTTGGTTCAGTTTCTAGCAGAAAAAAAAAAACAGTTAAATGTACTTAAAGTCATTGTCCAATAAATCAAATACCTGTAGTTCTTCATAGGCAGTATTTGTTAATTTTACTTTCCTTTTAGATGGGTCTTACTTTTATACTTATTTTCTCGTTTCGTTTGTAGTTTGTATAGAAAAATTGAATATGTTAATTTGTTAACACTATAAATCAAAATGTACTACTTCCTGAGGATTGATGTTACTGATCGCTGAAAGTTACCTTTGGTTCAGTCAGTATTTTCAGAATTTACCTTGATTGCCAGAAGGACACACAAAATATACAGGAATGAGTGTTTCTAATTTTTATGGGCTGATCCCGTTCTGGGACTCTGGATTGACACACAGACAGACCATTTGCAATTGTGCCTCAGATTCATATTCACTTCCTGCCACCATGAACCCATGGTTAGTGAGTGATGAAATTTAGTGTTCTGTCTTTTAAGATTATGCTTTCCAATGAACAAGCATACCGTTTTTTAAATTCTCAGTATGCAAAAGCACATATGATGCTGTAATTTGCAGAAGAAATGCTCTTCTCCTGTTCTGTCTTCATTCTTTAGGCTATCCTAAAGTAGGTCAAAAGCATATAATATTGTCTCTCTGTACTGCAGATTTTGAAGTCCCCTTATGATGCTTTTTTGAAAAATGTAAGTGTCTTTGACACCATGATTATGTTACAAGCTGTGAATGTCTTTTGTCATTCCTTCAAAAAGCCTCAAACAGACAAGCACAATAATTTGTTAATGAAATCTGTTTCTTACAAAAAACATGACTAAAATCCCATTTTCTGAGATTGCCACCAAATCAGGATGAAAATGGGGCAACAACAAAGAATAAACACTACTAGATTGATTTAGCATTTCTGGTTGCCTTTTTCTTGATTTAGTATTTAATTTAATATTGTAAATTGCTAATGGTTGTCCAGCAGTCTGACAAGTGGTGTTGCTGTTGGAGAAGAATGTCAACATGATGGTTTCAGCTTCCTGTGGTGGAAGCAGACCTCTAGTGTGTCTGTGTAGGTCATGGACATTGGTCCTTGGTGTATATGCTTGGACTCTGGTCCTTTTCTCTCTAGAAGGATTCCTTTCTCTGCTTCCTGGCAACAATGAACTACTCATCTCTGTCACTATACCATTCTACCATGATATACCTGCCTTGAAGCCAACTGACCACGGACTGAATACCCTGAGAGCTTTCCTTCATATTAAATTTCTTCTCCTCTAAGTTGTGAGTATTCAATGTTGCATCTTAGCAATGGAAAAGCTAATCAATTCTGGAATATTTTAATAAAAACATATTTCTCTGGTGATGTGGGTCTTCGAACGTACCTACACAGTGTTTTTCTGATATTATTCTTCAAAAGCTCATCTTTTAAAGAGAATATTAGAATACGTTTCAGCAGGACTCAGTGAACTGGAAGATAGGAAAAATAAATTACTTAGCACATAGGACATTCCCTCAGAAGAATATATTTTGAAATATTTTACAAGCCTGGGGATTTAGCCAGTGGCACAAGTGCCCGAATCAGGTGCTGAAATAAGTAGAATTACAATTTAAACTCAGTTAGAGAAAGAGGAGAGGAATGAAACATCCATGATATTGGGTAAGTTATCACTTAAAATCTCCTAAAATTGTTGAAAATGCATGGCATTAATTTTTTAAAATGATAAAGCATAAAAATCCAATTTAAAAATTAGTACTGCTATGAAGGAATGCTATTTATTAAAATGTTTATTCCTTTCCCATTAAGCTACCACAGTTCCCATAAAGCTACCATTATCTCTACACACAGTGTCCATGTAAGTATAAATCTATTTTATGACTTTTACTGTTCCAATATTATTCTGTTTTCCATTGTTTGAACCAATTTCACAGTCTTAATCAAGTTATTTGTATGCAAACATATGGTATGTTGTATTCTAACAGCTTATATTCTGTTTTATTAAAACATTATTTCATCTCTTCCTACATACATAAATACATGCAAAATTTTGGTGGATCTTTATTATATCAGTATATTCATCATGTTCAACAAAATTTTTTGTGTTATGATTGAAATTACCGTGGAGACTTCAAATGTTCATAAGTGGAATTGTCAAAAACACTGAAGGTCTAAAATTTTATTCTACAAGTAAACCCTCCAGTTAACCATTCACATTTTCATAAATGCTGTGTCTCAGTTACTTTTTACTCACCACTGAGACAAATACCTGATGCCCAAAAATGGAAAAGGAAAAGTTTATTTCTTACAGTTTTTGGAGGTTTCAGTCCATACTCAGTTGGTTCCAAGGCAGGGTGGCATGGCAGGGCCACTGTCCATGGTGGCTGCAAACAGCAGGGGAGAAACTGGCAAGAGAAAGAGAGAAACACACCTTCTTCCTGACATTACATTACATCCTGGCTCCACCACTAAGCCGGTGTGGCACTTACACCCCCAATCCAAGTGCCAGACAATAAACCAATCACAAATGCATAATGCAAAGGCATGAGGCTTGGGGGCCACTGACATATAAACCATGACATGCTGTTTTAGAAGACACATTTTTTTTTTATTGAATAGCCTACTGAAAATTTGCCTGAGAAATAATCTTTTTTAATCAAGGACCATAAATATATTCAATCTCTACTTTTATTAGTGTTTACAGCAAATAATACTCATATTCATCATGAGGAATTTGCACATGCACAACACATCCTAATTCTTTTTTGTCCCCCTTTTTCCCCTTCCCACCCTTTCTCTCCCCTCCCCACCCTTTTTCCTTCCCTATTTGCAAAATCTCTATTTGCATTTTTCCTCATTTGCTCTTTTTAAAAAAAATCATTTTCTTAAGGCAGATTGTGATCCAGCATCCTGGTAAATAGATGGAAAAAAATGGAATTAGGAACTATGACAAAATCATTCAGAATAATATGAGATTCTTGACACATTTTATCTCAAGAAGAAGGTCTGTATTCTACAACCATAGAATATCTCAACTTGTATTTATTTATACTTAATTTACTTGCACTCAGGATAAAATAATCTGTAAGATAAAAGAAGGAATTTCCTATGTGGAATTTTTTCTACTGTGCATACAGTTTTCAACATCTTGATTTTCATGGTATTCATATAAAACTTCTCTAATTATTCTTTAACTTTAGATATATTTTGTCTTATACCTCATAAGGTATACTTAATACCTGATTATGTGAAAATTAAATGTGCAGAACTATTCTTAAAATTATATGAAAATCAATGTGATTCAATAGAAAAGATTTGGGCTAATTCATTTTTCTATTTGCATGTTTTGTTAAGGTCTTGATTTATCTGATTTTTCTATCTAGCTGCCTGTGTGTTTCAAGTGACAACCTAGAGTTTGGGCAACAAGTCACAAACATTTGTGAAACACATTCTATTTGTATGTCTGATAATAAAAGGGAAATATCAGAAAGCAGAAAAGAAAGAAGTTGAAATAAGGATTCCTGAAGTTTTCCTACAGATTAATTTTAGATATATATGCATTTGTTAATTAGATAAAGACTTTTTTAAGAGAACAGAGTATACCTATAAATGTATTAATGTTTCCTATGACTCAAAGATGCATAGATCTTCTGGAGGGTGTCTTCAGATCAGCTGTGCAGTGCCAGGTAAGAGATAGTGCATTAGGGTTTTCAGACTGGTCTAGAGTGCAGGGCACATTTTATCTTTTTCTGTAATTAACGACACTATGAACAACAGTATACCGTGCACTCAGCATACCACATGGGCTACAGAACTGGTAGTAATTGTAGTAGTTCACAGGAATGACAAGTCAGAAATATCCTGAGAATTGGACATTTTTTGGAGAAGATGAGATCTGAATAGTATTTATAAAGGAGAACATGGAGAAACACCTCTAAATAATAACAAACAACAAAACAGATAGTTTACTGTAGCAAAAAAAATAAAAACAACTGTCTATTTTAGGTAGTGGTATCAGTAAGAGATGAGATGGATCAATATTTAAAGATCCAGTGATTAGAAAATCTGATCATACGTGATAGAGCTGTAGTAACAAATATCCAATGCACTGTGGTTGTGATGAAGAGTTCAGGAACATTTTCATTGACAAAGGTAACATAAAAATTAAATCTTAAAGTAGAACTCTGGGAGATAAAAAAGTAAATAGTGTAGGAATAGGTTACAAGGGGGCATGCGTGGGAATTTATTTATTTATTGGTACCAGGAATTGAACTCAGGACCTTGCACTCGCTAGGCAGGCACTTACGCAACTGAACTGTATCCCTAGCTCATGTATAGCAAGTTAAAGTTGTCTTACTCTGGTAAATAGTGATCTAAATACCAAACTGGTGCCAAACAAAGTGAACTAGAATGTCATAGAAATACTTGGATTACAGTTATTCTGGTTGTGTAAAAATGAGATACACAAAGGAAAATAATACAGTTCTGATCTCAAGAAACAATGTTCTCAAGTAAAACGCATTTGATGCTCACCCCTTGAATTGCTTTACACTAACAGTGAGAAAAAATTCTAATGATATACTTAAAATAAAACTAAAGAAACATACTAAGGCACAATAAATTAAGTTGAAATAAGATTAAACATAAAATTTATTATGAATTAAGGCAGAGTTTAATATAAATAGGAAACACCCACATATCACTGAAAAATAAGCTAAATTAGCTCTAAATTGTTTAGAATTCAACAGAATAAAATTACTAAATTAAGAATCTTTTTAAAAAACACACATTTTTTAAAATGCCAATTTTTGTAATTGAAATCTACTATGTATATCTCTTATATTTTATTTTAGTTATATCTAAGTGAATGTAAAATTTAAGGAAATGCTATTTAATTCTGACCTTAAAACAACTCATGCTTGTAGATTTATACTTTATATTTTTAGATAATTACTTTTCAAAAATTAATTATATGGCACTGTGAATAATTTCCACTGTATTTATTTGTTCATTTTTTGGTAGTGAGCATAATATTTTAGTGATTACTTGATTGAGAAACAACAAGAACTGTCATTGTTGTGAATATTTTGTACATACTATAATATTTTGATGACAATGAAATGATTTGGAAAAAAGGAATTAAGAGAATAACCATCCAGCTGTGGGGAAAGAACATCCAAAAATTTTGTTAGAATTTCTGTGTTAGGATGCTTACTTTGGGGACCATCAGATACACATGTGGCCTCTACTTTTCTTTTACTATAGCCATAAAGAACAACTGAAGCTCATAAAAAAGTAGCTAGCAGATTTGCAAAAATATAACAGCTTGCTCAAACAGGTTCCTATAGAGCCATCTAAGGAGAATATTCTTTCTAAAGCATAGCCAAGAGGTATTTATGTTAGAACTGCCTACTTTGTCACAGTAAACTGAGCATTCCCAGTGTAATAAAGGCTGTCAGATGGGATCTTGGGGTTTTCAATTTCAATCAGTGATAGGCTGCAGTGTCCTTATGAAATATGATAATTCAGTAAATATAGAGTGATAATACCTATTCTTCATGTTAAAGCCAAATATATATGTGTGTGTGTGTGTGTGTGTGTGTGTGTGTGTGTGTGTATGCAATCATATACATAGGCATGTGTCCAGGGTATTTAACATAAAAATTCATTAACTTACACTTAGTTTATTGGAGTTCTGGACTTACCTGTAGGTGAAAGAAGCAGCCAGCTATCTTCAGCTAGAAATTTTAGAGGCAATAACTGTCTTTCCTGGTAATCTAAACATCTTGACATGTTCATATCATATATCTTAATATTTATTTTTTAATGAACAGGAGGACCATTTAATGTTATATCTAAGACTAACATGTATTCAACCATTAACTGATAATAGTAAATTAGCTTATTAAATTACATGAGTTACAGACATGAAATATCCTTCTACAGATGTAAAATGGTAGCAAGAATTGTTGGAGAATGTTTTCAGAATTTTCCAGATAGTTTCAACCATAGAATATGGCAAGGAAAAGTTAAAAGAAGGAGAGAAGGAATAAAAATAACCCTAAATATGTATCACGGCCCAAGAATCCCGAAATGAGAGAGAGAGAGAGAGAGAGAGAGAGAGAGAGAGAGAGAGAGAGAGACAGAGACAGAGACAGAGAGACAGAGACAGAGAGACATAGATTGAGACAGAGACACAGAGACAGAGACAGAGACAGAGACAGAGACAGAGACAGAGACAGGAAGACACTAATAAGGTTTTCAAAGCTGACCTTGCCCGAAGAACATACAATAACTGTCCCAATCCCCCAGAGGAATTAAACTGTGGTTTAAGATATGATATATCTCTTGTAAAATGTCACAAGTTCATCAGTGAACTTCAGGAATTAATACAAATTCTGTTTAATTCACTTAATCATCTGCATAGTACACTTCTCATTGGACTCACAACCACTGAAATCTCAATGGAGTCAAGTAAGAATTCTTTCCACAAATGAATGTCTATGTGACACCTCCAGCATACACCCAGGATTTGTGATTCTAGGAGGCCTTCCGCAGGACAAACATCCGCAAATCCAGTAGTGTGAAGAACAGATGGAACAGACTGTGCTGTCTGCCAGTAAGGACAGCATAGAAGCCGCACAATCCTACTTCATTCATCCTATTTACTAATACACATTTTTCAAGCATAGCTTAAAAAGAAGCTTGAAAGCTGACATTATCTTTTTGAAATTGTGATTCAGCCTACCTGCAGGAATGAAAACAAAATGTAATGAAAATACTTCTTCTGGAGTATAACATTGTATCACATTGAAATATGTCATTGTGCTCCAGTATTCTATTTTAAATTCCTGATAC